TGACACATTCACCCACAAGTGGTTAAATAGTTTTACACATTTGCAAGTTTTACTCATTTTGGTTGAATGTATTTACCCAAAAATTTGATGGATAAATGTTAGTAATGCAAAATAATTACAGTGTAGTTTTAAAAAATTTTATTTCAAATATGAATTTATATTTTCAAAGTCCATGTTTTATGTCAATACAAAATAAGTCGTTAAATGACTGAATTTGTTTGAAATTGAAGGCATAATTGAACCGTTTTTAATGACAACAATTTTTGTGGTGCGGGTAATATGCGGATTCATTATTGTATTTGAACTAGGTCCCTAAGATTTCACATAAACCTTTTGATCGTGAGTTAAAACTATGGAAGAATATTAGTAATAGGCTTGCATGATATTTTAGTTGCATGCTAGTTAGATATTTTGTTTGGCATTTGGCAACACTAAAAGTATTAAAAAATACCAAATATAACAAGTATTAACATGTGTTATCAGGTTTGACATCAATAAACTAGTGTTAACTTTGGATTCATTCATGAATTGACATATAATGTTATAACAAGCAAATATCGTGGGAAATAAAGCTTGTATTTAAATAAATAGACATAATCCGGATATTTACTTACAATTACAATATATTAAGGTTTGTAAATAAAAATAAAAAATGAAATGAGATTCTTATAATATTCTAGACTTTATTAGAATATAACACAACACATAAATTCTTTCATTAAAGAATATCCATAAAGTTTTTTAAATATAAAGTAGAGATGCTATGAATTGCATCATAGAATTTGTTGTATGACAACAAAGTTGGGTTGAATACAAAATGTATAAAAAAGTTGCATTTGAGAATACAACTAGCACATTTGCCCACATCTCTACAGTTTACACAACTCATATCAATAACATGTTAGTACCAATGTCAAAGTAGTGATGATTAAAGATCTATCCGAATCAAATAATAAGGATTAAATTAGTAAACGTTTCCACAAAATTAAAAATATTTAAAAAACATTTCACACATAAAAATATTAAACCTAAAAAATATTTGATGTATTTTTGGTTTTTATGATTATTTTTCGGTAACTTATGGTTAAATAAGGATTGTAAGCAAAACTATCAGTACAACCATAATGTCTTTGCCGATTCATATGCGAAATTCAATCATTTTATTCGTAACATAATTTTCTTTATATAATGCTATATTAACTATTAGTAGAACTGATATATACATGTAGGCTAACTATGGAATATAGAATTGTGAAATTAGGCTTATAATTTAAGTTGATATTCCTAGGCACCAGAATCCAAGTTTCATCAAGATCAAATGAATAGTTTTTAAACAGGACTCTAAGTATGCACTCATTTTAATGTAGTCCTATGGGAGGGTGCCGTTTATATATTTACCGATGGTTAAAATCATAGTTAAATTGATCATGCTCAAATTCTAATAGAGATAATTCAAAACCATTTCTCTTCTGAAACCTTTACTATTCAATGCATAGAACCAAATGCTATTCAATGGCCGACATTGACCGCTACCCCAACTGTGGCCACACAAAAATCAGTGATTAACCCGATTGGGGGCCTGTGTTCGGTCGGTTCGCAATTGATTCCCGTTATAATTGATGTCATGATATCTACACTAAACTATTGTCAGATAACTAATAGTGAATCCCAATAACCAAATAATCACTTCAAACACATTTTTGGTAAAAATATTTTCACTTTGAAAATAAGATAATTTTTAGTGGAATTTGTTAGAGGGGGTGGGGTACTACCTAGGTAACAGGTAACATCCCATTCTATTCTCAGGTCTACCCGAATGAGGGCCCACTCACATAACACCCTATGGGGCCTAAAGAGGAAGAATACGGTACTAACAATAAGAATAACACTCAACAATCCAGATAACAATTCATTAAATTTAACCGTTAATGTTAATACATGTAGTTTATATAGTTTGCACTTTTTATGTACGGTATATGAGTACAACTTACTGTAACGTTACATTGATTCTAATACATGAGTACTTACTGCTCAGAATGTGTAGATTATAAATAAACCATTCAATTCAAATATTATCCACACTTTATTCAATATTTTTATCATCAAATTGTCATAACTTAAGTCAAACTCTTACCATATTTAAATAATATTATTAGTTTTTATGAAACATTTAATTATTTAATTCTTGCTTAATTAAAATAGATTTATTAATTAAAAATACAATAAAATCTATATTCTAATTACTGTATTTGCATTATTTATAATATAATATCTGGAATATAATAATTTCTTTATAATATAATAATAACAATAAAATATCTATAAATATATAAATAGCCGAAAAATGGTCGACACATCGCTTGGATATCACTGATTGAATGTGTGTATGAAGTGGTGATCTGTTGGCCACCAAATGACACGTGTGTTAAAACTTGTCGCGAAACATCAAACTCAGCGTTACGTTATTCACTTGAGGGCCAAACAGCGGGTTTAATTGCGCGATGTATGTACACAACCACCTCGTTGTCAATACAAAGCATATGTTATTACATGCAATAGACATCTATCACAAACTTATTGATCATTTGATAATACATTAATTGCTAATTCAAAACATGTGTCACTGTTTGCAATGCAATCACAACTATATATGGATACATGTTTGGCAATCATATGACCAAATGCTGGACAAACAATAAGTTTATGATGAGTTTGATTGAGTGATACTTACAATACATAACAGGAAACAGCGGTTGTAATGAGTATTGTTTGCGCGATTCTGTGGCACAACAAAGAGTGACAACAATTAGTTTAAATAACAATTAAGTGTAATATAAGACAATTTAAGACAATATACCCCTTATTGGGTCCTTTGGGCACAAAGAAAGGCAGGACTGCGCCCACAATCACCCAAAAGGCTGTCACCACAATCGGCCCGATATATGCCGGCGCTGTCATCACAAACACCTAAACACAACACACGTTCAGTCAATCCATTATTAATGCTTTTCATTTAAACGCTTACTTTTTAATACAAAATCAACTCTAAATCCAATGAATTAAATCAAAGTATAATGATTTATATCAATCGATGTTTGCATTCAATGTTTGTTTATCTCTGAAAACGCCTTCAAATTATGGCATAAATTACGACAAAAATTATTGTCATATAAAGAGAAGCCCTGAATATTAATATATGGTATCGCATGTGTTTGAATGGGGGCTGCGATAGAGTGGGCGCCCATTCATGCATTCGCTATAATATTTCAATTTAAATTCAAACTAATTATACATGTATTGTGTTTGTTATGCAATTGGTGTGAATTGAGTGGACAGTTGTGTTTCGTAAGGTTTGGTTGCGAAGCGCAGGTAATACTGGTATTCTCACTATAAAAGTAATTTGCATTTACATTACGCGAACAATACAGCACTTTATCATTGTTTTTAATTAATGAATATTTTTATTGCAAATTATATGATATACTGTACTGTCAATCAGTGAATGAATGCATTTTATGTGAATTTCCGAAACACTCAAATCACAGACAATATTAAACTTAGCTCCAAATGTATCCAAAGTAAAAGCATAACAGAAAAATATTGATAACTAGTTTTCAAAGCAATTCTTGGAAATTGTTTCCATAATTGCTTCAAAATAAAACATATAATGACAACAATTTTTATGTTCCCATTCAAGTGATTATATAATAAATTCATGTTTTTCTTTAAACACGTCTCATATTTCGAAGAATTTGTCGAAATTATAGAAACAATTTGAGAGCAAAACACCATATGATAGGAAGAAAGGAGGCATTAAATTATCATTTAAAAGCCCTAATCAAACATTTATATAATTTTCTAATCAAAGAATTATACAATAAAATGATACGATTGTACAGAATTTGAATCAAAATAATTGGTGTTTCACTTGTAGTGAGTTTGGATTCACTCGAAAACATGTATCGGAAGTAAATGAATGTTTGTTCCCAACCCTTGTGTTCCCTATAATACAATGTATTTTGTTTTATACACTTTTGGCAACACTTTTGTAATTACAATCTGATTATCATTTTATGAAATAATATTCCTATCGATTTGTACCAATTCTACGAAATATTGATGGAATTTATATTAAACTAAAACTAATTTACTTTAATTTACACATTATATAAGTCTTCAATGTTTGGAAATGAATTAATTGAAAAAATATTTCCCAAAAATAAAAGTTAACAAAACAAATGGAAAATCAATTTAAAGTCGATTAATGAAGGAATTAATGGATTAATAAAAATGCGAATAAAATAAAAGGCAATTAAAAGTGAGTTTAAGTGAAATTAGAGGCAAAAGCTATTGTATTGAGACGTGACTTATATTTAATGAATACATGCATTGATTGCTATATCAGTACTGATATTACAAAGTTATGTGATATTTGAGTCATTTTCATGTTTTAATACAACAATACATGCGATTTGTAATACATTTTCGCTAAAAAACTTATGTAATGAACACTCAATTCAATCCTGTATTCCGTAGTCTAGTATACCGTAAGTTAGACAGCATTGAGGGGTTGGCGTACAGGGGATGCCATTGCCTGCCATCCAATCAAACCATTTTCTACACTATAATTATATGTCAACCATATTGGGTGGAAGTCCTCTCT